GTTGACCATGACCACATCCAAAAATTTGACCATCCTCCAATAAAAATAAAGAATGATTTGCACCGGCCATAATATTTTTGATTGGACCATGAAAAAATGAAACAAGTGTCGGTATTCTTCGTTCATTTGTATCGCCTAGACCTAACTGTCCCTTGTTATTACAGCCCCAGGAATAAATTCGATTCGTATTGGTAAGAGCAAGGCTATGTTCACTTCCACAAGCTATTATTTTGACATTAGTCAAACCATTGTTCACAACAGTATCATACGATGACTCTGAATTACCGGTCAATTGACCATATGTATTATCACCCAAAGCAAAAACAGTGCCATCTTGTCGTAACAACAACAAATGTAACACTCCACTTGCTATCATTTCAAAACGATCATAACCGGTTGAAATCAATCGCAAAGTATTGTTTGTTTTCCATCTTGAATCACCACTGGCTAGATACACTAATCCATCATCAGTTAGAACTGCAACAAATTCATTGCCGGATTCGACTTGAATAATTTTCTTGCCATTTAAAATGTTAATCTGTTGTGGTTGTTTGGGATCATGTTTTAACGATAACCATCTGCATATTCCTTGACCATAAGCATAAATTGTATCTTTGGTCATGCCTAGGAAACCAATGTTCAAATTTGCAGTTGTTATTTTAAAAATTGAAACGATGTTTAGAAAATATTCCTGATCGATGTATTTGAAATCATCTTGAAATAATTCGATATCCACATCAGTATCGGTTAGTAGTTTTTTCATCGTTTTTTTTCTAGAAATTTTAGTTTTGTTCGCAACAAAAATACAATATTAACAATGGTCTGCTAAAACAAACACACAAACAAATCACAAAATGTAATGCACACAATACCTGAACAATTGATCATTCAATCGATTTGATCATTAACAACGAATTTTCGAAAACAAAAAAAAAACAAAAAAATGAAAGCAAACAAAGAAATAAAGTTACTCGATATATCGTTGCATATGTGTGCTCAAAAAAAAAGAAAAGAAAACATCAACGTGCGCAACCGTTTGCGCAACACGTTTTTTTTTCGTTTTTTTTAGCTGTCAAAATTGAAATGTTAATACAGGCATATGGGACAAAATTTTTTTATTAATTATCAAAATATTATTGACAAATCTTTTTCAAAAAATGATTATCGCTTAACAAAAAAAATTTAAGAAATTCGTTAATATTTTCATTGTTTTCCAAAAGATTGTTAGTAATTTTCGGTAAAACCTCTTCGATGGTTAGCTGGACAAGTTTATCATTCATTTCATTAAGTTCATATTTATCAATCAAAGGAAAATAAATGAATAAAGTTCGTTCATTTAGATCCGTTCGTATGAATGTTTTACAATGTTTCATTAATCGTTCATCACCATAACAATTGGCCAAATCAATAAGTTCGGCTATATTGNTATTGACAAATCTTTTTCAAAAAATGATTATCGCTTAACAAAAAAAATTTAAGAAATTCGTTAATATTTTCATTGTTTTCCAAAAGATTGTTAGTAATTTTCGGTAAAACCTCTTCGATGGTTAGCTGGACAAGTTTATCATTCATTTCATTAAGTTCATATTTATCAATCAAAGGAAAATAAATGAATAAAGTTCGTTCATTTAGATCCGTTCGTATGAATGTTTTACAATGTTTCATTAATCGTTCATCACCATAACAATTGGCCAAATCAATAAGTTCGGCTATATTGGATTGATTGATTCGAATCCGGCCAGTATGTAACATACGTAGATATGAATAATAGATATCATAACTATAATCTTTAATAATCACTTGATCATTTTCTTGCCATTCACCTGAAAACATAAGACTATAATATTCTGATGACATTTTCAGATAACATTTACAAGCCAATAAACGTTTGTCGCCGATAATAAACTCGACATCATAATTATTCGGATTATCCAATAATCCAATATTTGAAATTGGATCATTCGATTCGTATGAATAGATGGTTGATGTTTGGCCAAAAGTAATTATGGAGTCGCGTGATATTGCTGATGCTGCAGCAAATGATTTCGGTCGACCATTCAATTTTTCGAGTGGAACTAATTTTTTACTATTTAATTTACCCCATTCATAATAATGTGATGATTGATCTAAAGCAAATGAAATATGGAGATAATTTGTACAAGCCATACTTTGACAATTTTCAATCGGTATTTTTGTCGGCACTTTTGCATCTTGCTCATTATCATTAATTGGTGGTTGACCATAACCACATCCAAAAATCTGACCATCCTCCA